TGTCTAAATTAAGTTTTTACCTTACATTTCTCTCAGTTTCTCTGTTTTCTTTGTCTTTTGATGTTTTGAAGTTGTTCTTTTGCATTTACCTTGAGTTTGCTTTGTGTTTGTTTTCTTTGCAGAAAGAGGCTTAAGATACAAGACGCACTCAACCACCCCTGGATTAAGGTAATCACTTGGATTAAGTCGGAAACATGCACAGTTGAAAACATGTTTATCTACTCTTATGTGGCTTTTTGAAATGAATGCTTCTTACTGCCATTATACCATACACAAGTGTTGAACTTTACTCTGCTGGTTTGTACAGAATGAACTGACCTCGGGTTTTACACACATCATTAAGACACATATGCCTCTCTCTACTCTACATGAATTATAAAATTATAGGCAAAGTTCACCCAAAAGTGAAAAGTGTTGTCATTTACTCACCCTCATGTGTTTCAAGCTTGTATGACTTTCTTTATTTCTTCTGTCCCTGTTGATAAAACCAGCATATGCTGGTTAGGTATGTTTTAAAGCATGGAAGCTGGTTTGAGCTGGTTTAAGCTGGTTATAAGCTGTTTAACAGCTGGTCCTGAGCAGGAGCTGCTTAGGACCAGCTTAAGACCAGCACATGACCAGCTGAAACCATCTTATAACCAGCACATGATCAGCTTAAACCAGCTCATAATAAGCTTATAACCAGCTCAGGACGAGCTTAAACCAGCTCATGACCAACTAAGGACCAGCTTAAACCAGCATACGCTGTTATTTTCAACAGGGGTGGAACACAGATGAAGATATTTAAGAAGTGTTTTATTTTTGTCCATACAGTGGGGTCCAATGTTGTCTTGGACCCTGTTAACTTTCATTTAATCAGAAAAAAACTGTTGAAACATCCCTAAAAAGACTTAAAACTCCTTAACATGACACAAGGGTGAGTAAATGATGCCAAAAGTATCATTCTTGGGTGAACTATCCCAAATCCAAACAGCAAATCCTGGTATTACCTTGTTGGCCAACTACTAGATGCATGTATGCATGCAAGTCTTCATAATGGAAGCAATCGCATGTTGATGAATTCTTCTAATCGACAACTGAATCCTGTGTGTACCATGCTGTTCTCCTCATCCTAACATCCCGAGACCAGCATTAACTCCTCCTGCCTGGATCTGCTGCTTACCTGTGCGAGAGTTGAGTGCTTTGTCATCCTGGTGAAAAAGCGAACTAGCTTCTTACTCATTCTTCCTCCTAATTTCTCTATGCGAAGAACCACGAGCAGTCAGAGGACAACAGCGCCACCGTAGAGGTGCAAACACAAGTGGAATCGCAGCAGCTGAAGACCAAACGCTTGAAAGAGTACACCATTCAATCCCACTCCACCATGCCACCCAACAACACCTATGTCAACTTTGAGCGTTTCGCCAATGTTCTGGAGGACATCTCGTTGGTGGAAATGGGTATCGAAAATGTGGCTCAGAAGCGTGAATCCCTTCAGGATGATGTTGAGGCTCTTCTCTCCATCTACATTGAGAAGGAAGCTTGGTATAAAGAGGAAAGCGAAAGAATTCGGCAGGAGCTTTCGCAGGTGCGCTACGAGTTTCGTAAAGCGGAGGCGTTGAGGAAAGGCCTCCAGGAGGACTTGAGGACAACCGACGACAGCTTAGCCAGCATCGACAGTCGCTACCTGACTAGAGAAGCCCACCTGAGCTCCCTCAGACAGGAGCTGAACGCAGAACTCAGATGGTTGCAGGAGGTTATGGGGTCACTAAACGGAGAGGCTGGGAACAAGGGATTCGGATCCATTTCAGCTCTGAACAATGAGGTGAACGAGGCCCTGAAGGAGCTGCTGAGCAGGGCCTGTGGTGGCGATCTATATCCTCAAGCGCAGCCAGACATCTCTGAGTCTAGCTAGTGGAGATTAGACTGCAGTTGCAATACAATGAATTAAAAGCAGGATGTGAATTCAGAGGCATAGCTGATAGAGTAGCAATGTTAACCACTGTAAAAAAAAGAAAAAAGATTCTGTTTGTCTAGGGTGACCATACATGCCATTTTCCCAGGACGCGTCCTGGCCAGGATTTGTTTTGGCTTTGTTTTCCTGTTTTCATGCTTGCTGAAGGTAATGATCGAAAAGTAGTTTGACCAATAACATGCAAGCATTGTGCATAATGGACCAATCATGGCGTGTGAGAAGGTGGGATCTACGGTCAAAGCGATGCAATTACGCGTACATATTAGGTGTGTTCGACTTAAAAGCAGTGCGGCTCAGACCGATCAGTGTTTGACATCAAAGTACCTCGAGAGCGTTTCGAAAGCATAACCGTCTGTATGGTACTTTGATGTCATACACCGATCGGTCTGCACACGCAAACAAAGCCAAAACCTAGATATTTTAGGCAATAGTAATATTTTAAAAGCTTTAAAGATTTATTTAAAATAATATTTCACCCATTTACTCATGCTCATGTCATTCCAAGCCTGTATAGGAATACAAAAGAAGATATTTTGAGAAATGCCACAGTGTTTTGTTGTCCAGTCGTAACAAAGAATGTTTGGTTACGAACATTCTTCAAAATATCTTCTTTTGTGTTCTACAGAAGAAAGAAAGCATGATGGCATATGGGTAAGTAAATAATGACAGAATTTGGGTGAACTTTCCCTTTAAATTCTAAAGACCTTTACTGAAGCCTAATTAATATTCATAAGCTAGGCTGATAAGGTTAAAAATGCCTATGGCCTTGGCACCAATAGCCTCGTGGGCAGCTCGCCAACATATAGTGCTGTTGCGCTTCGGGCATCCTGAGTTCGAGTCCCGGCTTGCAGACCTTAACCTTCAGAACAGAACATTAGTTTGAGACACTTTTGAGACATGTTTGGAATTAAATTTGCTGTACCTGCAAAAGTCAGAGTTTAAAATTGTGTTGTTTATTTGTAACTTGTTTTGTATATACTTTATACCAAAATAATTAGATTATGCACATGCTGGTGCTCTACTACAGCATTCAACAGCATTCTTTTGCATTCACCATATTCATCAATATGGTTGATCTTGTCAGTGTTTCTTTCATTTCTTTCAAAAACATTCTTTCTTTGAACAGTAATAGTGATAAGTTGAAATGATGTCAGCCTTTATGATTTCATTCAATCTTTATGCATGGGTTGTTTTTCTTTTGTTTACAGATGCCATAAATATGATTTTGGCCATAAATTGTAACTTTTCCTTTCTTATAAGCAGTTTAAAAGTTCTCTAATTTATTTGTGAATGTACCTATTTAAAGCACTACATGCTCATTGCCGGTTTTAATTTAACTTTTCTTTCTTGCACATGTAATTCTGTGTATATTCCTGTTACTTTATACTTTAATTTCGATCAAAAAGTCATATTTGTTTTATGTGTATTGATTTGTGAACATCAGCACTTGGACCTTTTCTTCAGCACGTCATGCCAGCATGCTGCTTGACGTAAACAGTGATGTTATTTCTTTCCATACTTAATAAAGCACTGGATGATGATTACAGTACATACCTCACACTGATCATTAGTCCTGCAGCTGGCTGTGGTGCATTGTGGGATGGAAAGAGATGAACTATACTCAGTCCCTCAGGGGTGTGTGTTTCTTGGAACTTCTGCAATTATGTGTTAAGGCATCACTTTTAATATTGCTCATACTTAGGGCTAGGAATCTATTGTGAACGCTGTCTGTGCTAAAGATATGATATCTCAAATCATGTGGTTTATTGAGGAAAGGTGTGCTATTCATTTTATAAACAATCAGACTTAAGATTTTTCACCTGGTAGTTGATAAACTGGGGGAATCCAAAGATTGTATTGAACGGTTATGACACTGTGATTGTTTTTCCTTTAGCCCGTAAACCCCAGACAAGCCCTGGTGCGACGACAATCTGTGGTGAACATTGAGAACTTCAGGAGACAATATGCCCGGAGGAGGTGCGTCCATCCTGAACAAATAGCGAAACGGTAGTTTTACGATTTACGCTAAGGAAATAGTGCTATATGTGTCCTCAATGAATTCTTACAGATAATTTTAACATGTTTTTCTGCACTTTCTGTTCAACTCTGTTGGGACATGGGGAGTGGAACAGTGGCTTTTTGAGGGTTCTCTTATGGTAGCATTTTTGGACGCGAACAAGAATACTGACTCTATATATGGCCTGACGCAATGATATTTTCTAGCTAAAGCTGTTATTAAACATTGTACCATTCAGCCCTGTAGTGCTTAGCCCTAAAACATTTTGAATTTAACAGTGTTGACAGAAATGTTATTTGAGTTTTTTCCAACTTAATTTGTGAATTTATTTATAAGACGCATGGAAACTGTGATACTACTAGAATTTACTCTTGTATTTGTTAAAATTATAAGCATATGCATTTCAGTCTTACTATGATGGAGTTGAAATAATGTGGCATTTTAGGGTCATTATCAGTCATTCAAAACCACTTCAGGGTCTGTACGATTTTTTTACGTTTTTTTTTTTAATAAGTCTCTTTTGCTCACCAAGACTATATTTACTGTATCAGAAATACAGTAAAAAGCAGTAACAGTGAAATATTATTACAGTTTAAAATACCTGTTTCCTATTTCAGTATATTTTAAAATATAATTTATTCCGGTGATGCCAAGCTAAATTTTCAGCATCATTTCACCAGTCTTCAGTGTCACATAATCCTTTAGAAATAATTCTAATATGCTAATTTGCTGCTCATATAACATTTCTTATTTTCACTGATGAAAACAATTGTGCCGCTTAATATTTTTGTAGAATCCGTGCCATTTTTCATGATTCTTTGATTAACAAAGAACTGCATTTATTTGAAATAAAAATGTTTGTTACATTATAAATGTTCTTTCTGTCAATTTTGTTCAATTTAATGCATCTTTGCTGAACAAAAAAGTAAATTTCTTCCCATTAGTTTTTTTTGTAAAAATCTTACGGACCCCAAACTTTTGAACCTGTGTTTAGTCTAAAAGCTCCAAAATTAAGCTTTCTCCCTGCATTCCAATAGCTTTCTTTCAGAATCGTGGCCCTCTGCAACCACTTGACACGCATGATGAAGAAAGGTCACACTAAAACACAGGTATTTCATGGACCCTGGTCAATTATACTCCATTAATCATTTCCAAAAAAGATAACTGTCTGGCTGTATACGTCCAGGAGTCTCCAGGCAAATCTTCAAATAATATGACCAATTAAACAATTAGAGTGCTTCTGATGTCTTACCCAAGATTCTGGCATGTTGGTATATCGGTCGAATCCCATTTCAGGAATGCATCTCAATATCATTTACAGGACAAACCCAAGATGGGCTACGTAGGTCGAACGGTGGCCATGTTCGAAAGGGAGTGCGAGAGCGATCAAGAGGAGGAGGGGATGCTGAGGAGACCTCGAACCAGGAAGAGAAGTAGCACTTCCTGAAACTCCCTGCTGCTCCTCCGACCGTCCACAATATAAACATCCCAGCCGCATGCTGGTTTTGAGGTGAACCTGCGGCGTGTTTGGCGTTTCTAAACGCACACAAGCTGAGTTGTTTTTAGCAAGCGTGTTGAGGTCTGAATGTGGCTTGTTTGTCTTCATAGAGATGCAATTATTATTCATCAGCATGTCTGTAAACATGATGCAAGAAGTGGCAAATATAGAAAGAAAACATTTGTTCATGTTGTTTAAAGCCGTGCATAAATGTATTAATGTATATAATGGGATAAGGAAGAGTTTACTGGATATATTACAAGTTTGTGCGTAAAGTTTACTTGTATAATGTTAAAATACGTACGTTTTAACGTCACTCGCGCCACTTTGCCTTGAGCCTTCGCTGTGTAATATGTGCCACAACATATTTGCATTCCTTTATTGAAATGTCTTCAGATTTTATTGCCTCTCAAAAGTGCATGAGTGATATAGCCAACTTCATTATTCTGTATGATATTTGTTAATTTTATGTTTATTGTTTTATTGCGCAGATTTTTGTCTCAAGGTGCAGTCACATTTACTGTTGTTTGGCGAAAGATTTTCAGACTTCGCAACAGGTTCAAGCTTCTCAAGCAAATTAAGTAAGCTGCTTGGTTTGAAAATGAGCTTTATATGGCACTACTATTGACAGTTCACGATGGACTTGCGAAATTTCGCTACTGTGATCAGGAATTTTGTGTGCATGTGAAAGATTTCCTGCAATTCACTGCAGTTATCAACCGAAAACTGCTCGGTTTTAAAGTGATTTTTAAGTGAAAAATTTGACTAATGTGACTGCACCTTTTTAAATTTGCATTTGACGAAGCAAGTCAGTGCAAAATGGGCTGGATTTGAGATCCAGTGTTATACTCAGTGTATTTGCGCTTAAGTGTATTAAAATTAGGTCATTTATCAAGCCTGAAAATGACTTGTAAAGCTCTTAAGATATTAATAATGTATTAGATGCCATTCATTTTGATTTCAAAAATGTATGTTTATTGAAATCAGGGCAGATATAATGCTACATCATTGTGTTTTTTTGGTGCATTGAAAAGTCCAGCCCTCTGTCAGGGAAGGAAGGACAAGCAGGAACTGTTGGCAGTGCTGTTGGATTGTGAAATGAAACTTTGTATCATTGGGACATTATGGTACTTGACATGTTTCAGGACTGCGCCACCTATTGGTCAAACGTTTTAAGAAAATCACAGCTGCTTCAATGTAAATTGTTTGTAATACAGTGCCTTGAGCCTGAATGTGAGTGTTAGTATGCTTCACATACCTCACCATCAGAAGAGGTTGTATTCTGTATGAATGTATTCTGTACAATGGACTTATAAATGAGAGGGCTCAAAAGTTCTCATTTTATTTCATTAAAACATTGTTAGAAAAAAAAAATCAGTAATGTTCTTTCTGCTAAAGTATTAAACCTGAATCAATTTTAAACCATTTTGCAGTGCATATTTATACATTACATTAAATATATTTGTTTATGTGTATAAACAGGACTATGTTCAATGCATGTTCATTTACAATTACATCACTCCCTGTGCACCAGTCACATGATTGCAGGTGTTCGGGGACAATACAGTGTTGTTTACCAGTATAAATCTGCCAGATTTATTCCAGAAGTGGAAAGTAATCAGAAAATGTGCCTCAAGAAAAAAATCCCTATTTATTTTATACTCTTGATATGACACTGTACTTGTGTTGTTCACACTTAAAGTGAAATGAACAAAGTTTACTAAGAATAAAAAATGCCCCTTTTGTACAAGTATAGAAGTAATAAATTATTAATATTATTATTGATGTTCTTGTTTGGTTATTCATGATCCACTAATAAGGTCAGGAAATTGTAATTTAATAAGAATTTCATTAAATCTTCATGAGTTGCATCCTGGGATGCTTTTTAAAAGAGTATTGACAAAGTTCATGTGTGCTGAATAGATATGCTTAGTTATTATATTAATAATTTTGTTAATATTATGAATAATCCTTACATTAATACCTTAATTAATAATTAATACATGAATTATTACCTAATAATTGTACAATATATAGTTTGTTAATATATTAATAACCTTATCTATAATAATAAGAATAATATTTTGCATATTAAATGTTTGATTCATAGACTTTAAATCATTTATTAATAATAATATGCATTTGTTGTAAAGAATGTATGTTCGTTTACACCGTTTTAAAACATTTAATTTTTAAGATTTTGCGACACAAATTCTGTTAAATATTTAAACACGTCTGACTGGTATTGTACATGAATTGGTCTATTATCACTCATAGTCTGACTGCAATCAAACCTTTTGTGTCACAATCAGTCTGTTGGTGAGAGAAGTTTGTCCACGTCTCACAACAGCAGTGTTATTTGGGGTCAATTAGGCTGGATGCAGTTCCGGGTAAAACTGGACCTGAACTAAATAAACTGCCATTAGAGAAGTTGGCCAGTGGTAATGTAAAAGTTATCCGGTGGAAGAAGTGAACCAGTTTTGTTTTTTTTATCTCACCTGCCTAATCAGGCTGGACAGAGGAAGGAGTAGCTACTCTAGCCCTTTCACTAGTGAGTGTAAACTTGCTATAAGTTTGATTGCATCATATAATAATTGCTGTTAATAGTGTTCATCGTCTGTTTGATTAAGTCTTAAATGGATTTTCCCGTACATTTCTGCCATATGTACATTAACTGACAGTCACCACTGATATAAGCTACCACTAAATATTGTAGAAACTTAATTTGCTGTAAAGTTGCTTTGCAATGATTTGTATTGTGAAAAGCGCTGTACAAATAAACTTGACTTGACTTTGTTCGCGCTGCAGTTCAGAGTCCTGTCAATCGATTTACCGCAGGTAAATTCATCAATTTCTACCGAAATACATGCAAATGAGTGGCCGGTGAACTGGGAGAAGTATAGAGTGAACTACTTAGACTATGTGTATCTGATATTAATAAAACACGTCGGCAAATTATATTTGAATGGATTGTTATTGCGGCTTCCATAAACATCAGTGTGCATTTTACGAACTCTAAATGTATTGTTTTACTAGTACTTATGTGTATTTAAATGTCTGAAACCTAAAATAAACATTATGGGATTAAAGCACTGCATAGTTGTGATTATATGTGTGTGGCGCCTCATGGTCAGCCAAAGCACGAAAACGCAGTTTGAATTGGGCCGTTATGTGACGTCACTGAACGTTCTAAATCCCGTATGTGGGACCGTACCGCTCAACAGGCTTGAAACTGAACAAGTGTTTCCTTATTCTTGCCTTGCTATTTATGTGATTAATGTTTTGTTACGTGTTGCAATGGATTTTCGCTCATTTCACTCCTAATAATGAGCTGAATTTTGCCAAGTGTGTCAATACTGTTCCATTTCAGACCATTGCCCTACATATTCCGTAATCCTTCATTATCCCATCCAATTTGTCCTGGTAATGTACCGTTATGCTCAGCCAACATGTTATTCAATGAGATTCCAGAAGTTGTAAATGTCATAATGCCATTAAAATCAATTAGGACTCACATTGGGTTGGTGTCTTTTGTTTCATTGAATATACTGATTGGGTTCTTGCCTGAAGAATTTACTGTCTTATTTATATGATAAGAGCTTTGGGGTGGAGCCTTTCTTCATTGTAAGTGTGTCATTTTGAGTTCTTTTTGTTTCATCCAGACATTTCAACGATTGTCAATGATTCTTGAGGCTAGTTTTAAGAACGCCTTTGGCACGCATGCATACATGTCCACAGTCTTTCTAATAACTGCTGAAATCTGTTACTTTCCCACATACTTTGAGCTGCTTTTTGGCCTTCAACTTGTCAGATTTTTGTTGAATTATGGAAGAAATTAGTGTTATAACTCGCTAGCTTATCTTAGATCTGTTTCCAGTGTGCTGTTTTAAACAATGATAGCATCATTAAAGCAACTATTAACTGGTCTCGGATCAGTTTACTGATATCTGGTAACTGATATCTGTTATTTCTTATACACAAGAGATGAATTGCAGTTGCTGGAATGTTGCCGTAAGCTTAAGGTGGGTGGCTCAGGATTTCATTGCTTCTGTGAAAATGTTAACATATGATAGCCTGTCTTTTGTTGCCCTAGGCCATGGCGTATTGTCTTTAGCAAACCTATAGTCCTAATACTATGAGTTATTGTTTACATAAGAACTTGTACATATTTCCACCAGTTATTTGCATGTGACCTTGTAGCCTATATCTAGATCAAACACACCTAATTACTTAAAAGGGCCTTTGGGTTTCGAAAACATCATAAATTATATTTCCATTCGAACACAGTCAGATCTTGCTAACTGTGAAATTAGGCTATGTTAACCTACCGTGTGAAGTGAAATGTTAGCCTACCAAGATAAACAAAAGTCAAATTGCCTTAGGCCCATACAAATAATTATACAAATATTATATAGCTTATGAGCTCTCAGTAAACGCGTCAGTTATCACTTAAGTGATGCATAACATGAGGTGTCACGATACAGTTTTGTTGTACAGCTGTACAATGACAATACAAAGCTATTCTATTCTATTCTATCATACCCAAACATCAGCACACACCATAAGTGTGATAATTGTAATAACAGTGCAACCTTGTGGTTAGATATTGTATTTCCCATATTTCAGTACACTGACGCTTGAGTACTAGCACAAAATAAACTGATTTATGTGCAAATTAATTCATTATATGTTTTTGTTCATGTTTGGGTGTAATCGCATAGGCATACTTCTTGCATTTTCTAAAAAAAAAAAAATGTTTTTGTCTTGGCCTCTCACTTAAACACTGGTAGATAGTGTCAAATGTATTTTATATTATAGCAATCTTCTATGAATGCATGAATTAATAGATAATGGTTTCTAACTGATTTTCAGTTCCTATTTGGTTGTCCCCAGAGTCAGACAGAAAATCTTATACTTATGTATGCTATCAAAAATGTTTGTTTTCTTAAGTTTAATATATATTTTATATCTAGCCTTTATAATGTGATTAATGATCTGAAGATAGTTGATAGTTGGAAGATAATATGTATGACATAATTTTGACCAAATAAGAAAGAAATAGAATCTCTAGTAAAGACATATTAAGATATATTAGCTCGTTTTGAAAAGAAATTTCCATCTTGGGGAAAAATCCCTGTGCCGGAAGACATTCTGTTCAATAACTTATCACTGAAACCATTACAAATGTCTCCCTCTGTTGGCCAAAACAGGTGGCGCATGATTAAATCGCCGAGGGGTTTCCCGCGGTTCTTAAAAGCGCGAATTTCTGCTGGTCACGAGACTAGCGGGTTTCTACGGGTCAGGGACATTCATCGTGAGAGACGACTTCAGCTTTTAAAACTTCATTCTCGTCGTATGTAGCAGTATTACTACACAGGTAATTTAACATTGGCAAGTGGTTTAAAAAATGTACAGCAAAACAGCCATGGTATGTTTATTTACTGTGTTGTGTTTCTTTCTTAAGTGAGAGCCCCAAACATATGTGAGATGTTTAAGATTTCACAGGTGCCTCCGGTTCTCCTTACCCAAAACCTTTGTATTCAGCCCAGAAAAGACGAATGATTTTGATTATCGTATGATGTATTTATGGAAAGGTTATATTTTTAAGGATGTAGAGTGCCTTACAGGTAAGCTGTTGATTCAGAAATGTTAATTTCAAACCAGGCAACAACAAAATAAAATGGAACAGAGGGTTTATATAAGAACAGAACATGTGGAGCCACTAATAGGTACACAGGATCTCTGGGAAACACTTGTGTGATCCAGGTTATTGGGCCGCACTGCAAACCATCTGGACGTGGGCAGCATGCTAGTAGGCTAAGCAAATGTTACATTTGGATAGCATGGAAATCCCACTGATGTACTGAACAGCCAGTTCCGACAAATGCTAAACAAATGACCCTATTTCATATTTGTTTGTGATTAGTGAGTCCACTTAAATTGACCACACACACACACACACACATATATATATATATATATATATATATATACAACAACAACTAGTCCACCTCAGTAACCAGCCAATTAGTAGTTGAACAACTACTGGATTGCTATTCCTATTAAATACGAAATAATGAGTTTGATGATATCTTCATCTACATTTAACGTGTTAGATTGAAATTAATATCAGAATTGGATTTGTACTGTTGAGTGCCACTGAAATATATGAAGATGAGGAGCTGCTTGTCATTAATCATGCATGACATCCTTTGGCTCAGTGTGTGTGATCATTAGGTTGGTTTCTGGTCAGATGACGGCATTGAGGAGATGAGTTCCTGGAGGGCCCTCTCCATTATTCATTCAGGACTCGTGTGTATCCTATTCTTAGAATAGATGCTTAATAGACATGTCCGCTCAGGTCGTTCTGTTCCCTACCTGTAAATGCGTCATGTATTTGTGAGCTAAATGTGCAAGTCTGGGATCAGTTTTGTTTGCCTTGTTCTGGCTCAAACGGGGATTTAGATTAGCCGAAAAATAAAATAAATTAGCCCAGAAAGCATCAAGCTACAGCCTACTTTATTGATAAACAACCCCTGGACACTTGTCAAGAACGTCAGTCTCAGGACACTGCTGTCTTCCTGTCCTAATCGTTTTAGATTAAAATTATTGACCCAGCTGGAAAAGTGATTAATTGGTTTCTCAATAGCATTGATTTAGGGTTCTTGCTCCGGCTGAAATGGGGCGGAAGGCATATCTAGGGCATTAGATCTCTGGGGGACCATTAGGCCTTTTGGCTTTATC